TTTAGCCACAACTCTGATTCCTGCTCCTCAAGGGCGACAAGTACCAATCAAGGACTCTGATGCACAACCCCCCTCTGCCGGTCCCTTGCTGAGGCTCGGACACGAGGCTCGTCGAAGTCCAGCCAAGCACATGATCCTCATCTGAACTCTTGCTCGCAGCTAAGTCGCCCCTCTGGCTAGATTTCACAGGAAAAAGCTCTTGTTTTTCAACCTCACTCTTACGCTGGATACAATAATCCATTTGAAGTCATTTTCGTATTTTTCTCATCAATTTTTGTCAAAGGCCATGGGACTGTAGCTAGCTCTCCTTTCTGCTCTAGGGCCAGTAGAGCCAGTGCGGAAGAGGGGATAACCTGCGGTCTCTCTATTAGCGGTTCCTAGGATGGCAAATTTGAAAAACACGAAGTGTCTGTCTAAAGGGACTGGGTAAGTAAGGTTATGACTTACTGATAAAGGTGAGGTACAGTCTTTCAAGTCACGTCGCAGAAACATGACCTAGGAAAATATTGCACTCTTGAACATGACTTGAGGGCCATAATATTTTGAATTTTTAAAAAACTGTCACCGAGAGGATATGGTTTTGGTCACACATGTCAGAAACCCAAAATTCACAGTTGTTGGCCGACTGCATCCCCAGAGCACATGGAATGCTCACTTGCTGGTCTCTGTCTGCCAGACATGCTCACATTTGGAAAAGAACCAGAGTTAAGGCAGGAGAGGGTGTCTGAGGAGCACCGCCCCTCCACTCCACAGGCGAGGCCCAGATGTACGGATGAGGCCTGCCACAGGCAAGACCAGAAATGACACTAATGTTACAAGTGATGCAGGTGTGGAGCATTTGGGGAGATGATAAAGTTTTGCTGATATCTGCAAAAAAGGGAAGAAAGATTGAAAAAGCATATGGAAAGACCAAAAAGGCAGGGAAATACAGTCAGCCTTGCCATGAGGAGCTAGGAAAATTATTGGTAAAATAAAACTTGTTGTGCTCTCGTAAGGAAGCTTAACTTGGTGAGAAATTCCTTCCAAAGAGGAGAATGAAAACAAAGTGCCAATCTCTCCAAACCACATACATCTGCTGCTTTAAAGTTATGCTCAAGAATTATTTTGTCAAACTTGTTCAAGTTTCGAGAGTGTGGCACAACGTGGATAATATAACGTACCTCCTACCTAGCTAAAGATAAAAGTGGCAAATGTGTCATCTGGTGACAGAAACACTTGGTTTCTACAAGGCCACCCCTCGCTATCTTTATCTCACACACACACACACACACACACACACACACACACACACAGGTGGTTGTGGTTGTTGTTGTTGTTTACATTAAACTAAGGCAGTAACATCTGGCAAAACAGGACTCTGCTCTCACTCTTTCCTCTCTGGCCTGAGCAAGTTCAGTGCACGGCTGGCTGGAGGCCCTGAGAGCGTATCTTTGAAAACACCAGACCATCCCTTGATTTACTGACCAAGATGCACACCTCCTCCCACCTCGTGGTGTCTGATATTGTAAATTTGATGGAATCTAGACAGGAGACTCCCCTGCAGGTTGGGCTCATAGAAATCACATCTAGAGTAGGTTAAATATTTCCAAAGGGGAGGGGAAAAGTTAGCTATAAATAAATCAGTACTACTCAGACCTCCTGTCAGTTGCCTTTGCTGAAAATGCAGAAATGTACAACCCACTGCTTTAAATCAGGGCTCTCATCACCTGAGCTCCTAGAAATGTGGTGAGCACTAAATTCCCCTAAAAAGAACTGTTTAAGAAGTAAAAAAAAAAAAAAAAAAAAAAAAAAAAAAAAATTGATCATATTTTCCAGTTGCATATCCAGATTTAAGCTTTTTATACTTACATTCTTTCCCAAATTGATAGTCCAGCACTATGACCATTTTGTCCTCCATTAAAACACAAGTCTTTCAAAACTACAAATTTTCATGTACTACTTTCCCCTGGCCCAACAGTCTTATGAAAAACAGAGAATCAAAATTCCAACCATTTATTCTCATTGGACTTTTCTTAGAGTTTTAGATTAAAAGTACAGAAATAAAGTCCCACTCTTTCCACACCTTCTGGTTGGGTCATGACACCCCACCTGTATGATTCTCCTGTAGAGGAACAGGGTGGTATTCTTCGTCTCAAGCTGATGCCATTGAGTTGGAATAGTAGAAATGTTTCAGCCCAGAGGAGGCCTGGCACCTACAAAACTCCATAAGCAATTCAAGATCATCAGAAGACCTGGGTTCTCACTTGTTTATGCAACTTGCCAATTATATGACCCCAGCCAAGTCATTATGCATTGTGACATTCATTATGTCCACTTAATAGAAGGGAAAGAATATATCACTTTTCCCATCTTCTCAACAGGGTTTAGGTCAAATGAAACAATGTATGTCACATCAGCATGTGAGTAAGCCCTAGATGGCTCATGTCTTGGGATCCCAATGTCCCTCCTTTCCTCCCTCCCTCCTTTATACATCAAGGGCCTCCTGTCTGAATTAACTTGTCCTAGGTATTACAAGAAATACCAAGATAACTCAGAAATTCCGTTAAGAAGCTTAAAACTCTACGGGAAATTATGCTTCTATGCGTGTTAAGAGGCAGGAAAGAAATACAGAAATATGCTCTAAGAGTTACAAGGAGGAAAGATTACTTTCTATTTAAGGGGTCTAGGAAAACCTCAAGGAGGGAGAGGTATATGAGCAGGTCACTGAAATTTGGATAAAATATGGACACTTGGAGGTAATGGTGGAGAAAGACATCTCAAAGGCACAAGGAAGGAAAAGCACGGATCATACACAAGAAGGACAAGAAGGACACAACAAGGTTGTGTTGGCAGAAACCCAGAACTCCCTAAAGGGGAACAGAAGGGAATAAAACCGGAAAGGCAGGCTGGAGCCAGACTGGAAGGCCCTGCAGTCAGACTGAGTTTGGACTCGAGTAGCACGCTTGCCCGCAACCTCCATGTGCCCACACTCCCTATCTGGATAAAATACCCCGTATGCCTCACTCTCCCTAACTGCTCTCACTCACCAGCCAGTTAGCATAGCCAGTTCTTCCTGTGGTCCCTCAAACTGCCCCCTACTAATTCTCACCTGGATTCCTTAAACAGGCCCCTGCCTCTGCTCTCGACCCGTCCCACTGCGAGGGATCCGTTCTCCACACTGATGTCTGATTGACCCAAAATACAATCTCCCCCCTTTACTTCCCAGCTTAAATAACCCACAGATAACAGGCCAACACCTCCATGACATTTGAGGTGTTCTGTGACTGGGGCCCTCTCCAGGCTTCGTCTTTGGCCTCTCCCCCGCGAGCCTCCGCCAGTCCTGCCACACTGACCTCCTTGCAGTTCCTTAAACCCACACGTTCTCCAGCGCCTCTGAACCTCTGGATCTGCTGTTCCTTCTGCATGGGACCAATATCCCCCCTTTCTCGGACTAGATAACACCTCCTTTCTCTTTTAGCACTCAGATCATCAATTAGCATTGTGCTGAATGTACTAGCCAACGTATTTAGATTAAAAAAAATAATAATAACCATAAAAGGTTTAAGTATTGGGAAAAAGAGGGAAAGTCAGCACTTGCACATATGATTGCAGATTTAGAAAACAAGAGAATCAACTAAATAAAAGTGAAAAAATTGTAGAACTCAGTAAAAGAATACTTAACAAAATTTATATAAAAAAACAATAATGTGTCTTTATACAATGGTAACTAGTTAGAAACTATAATAACAGAAAGTATTCCTTTATAGAGAATAAGAAAGGTAAAATTAGAAAAAATTAATCAGGAATTGTGAAGAACTGACATAAAGAAAACTTTAAAATTCTGGGGCGCCTGGGTGGCTCAGTTGGTTAAGCATCCGACTTCAGCTCAGGTCACAATGTCATGGTTCACGAGTTCGAGCCCTGCATCAGGCTCTGCGCTGACAGCTCAGAGCCTGGAGCCTGCTTTGGATTCTGTGTCTCCCTCTCTCTCTGCCCCTCCCCACTCATACTCTGTCTCTGTCTCTGTCTCTCTCTCTCTCTCTCTCTCTCAAAAATAAATAAAACACTTAAAAAAATTTTTTTAAAGAAAACTTTAAAATTCAACTAGAAAGATAAATCTTGCTTCCAGATAGCAAGACCCATTGCGGTGTAAACTCCCCAAAGGCATGGATCTTCTCTGCTTTGTTCACTGATACACTTCAAGTACCAAGAACACTGTTTAGAAGGTAGAAGGTAGTAGCCACTCAGTAAATACCTACTGAATGAATAAATGCCTAAGACAATCTAAAAATTCCATGTGACCAACAAAATACAAACAGGATTTGTATTTATATTCTGGGAGAAACTAACAGAGATATCAACCTTCCACTTGAAAAATACACACATGTAAGATCATTTTTTACCTAGCAGATGAGCACAGATTCAAGCATTCAGGGTTACGGAAGGCAGGGAGAGCCCAAATAACCAAAATGTTGTCGGTAGAAGTATTAATTGGTACAGTCTTTTGAAAGGACAATCGTGAGCAAGTTTTGACTGTGACAATCCATAATGTCTCTAGATCGCTTTTGCTGATTATTTGCCTCACACAGTGATGGCAGTGCTGATTGAAATCATCCATGCAAAGCACTTAGCACTGTCCCTGGCAGAGACTAAGCATTCAAAATATAAGCTATTATTATTATGCTGCCTATAGAATCTTTTCAAGAGTTCTACGCACTACAACTGCAAAAGTCATCGGGAAGCGTTTGATTTCCAACAAGAGCCAGGCCTCCCCATTTACCTCTGCAATAAATAAGCACACCGTCTTCCTAACCACATTGAAAACAAACTGGAAGCTGCTGCTTCTGTATTTTTGACTTTTGTTATCATTTCAGAATTAAGCTGACTTTGTCAGACCCCAAGCACAGCCTCATCTTAGATAGCTAGAATTTAAATAATCTTTACAAACTCAGGACGTCTTTCTTTGTCCCATCTTGACATCTGGACCATGGCTGACATGGTTAGCAGCGGAATTCACTCACCACAGTGGGGGGGTCATTCCATTCCTCATAGGAGAGGGCAGCATATGGATATATGCGGTCATTGATGATCTGCAGAGTGGCCAGGGCAATGGCTTTAATTGACTGGAAGTACGCTTCCCAGAACCACCGTGCCTGTAAAGAAAACAACACTGAATTAAGTAAGCAAGCGAGACAGAGTGAAGAACTAGATGCCCCATCACAGCCACCTCTGGGTCTGGGTAATTCCTTTATTCCCAAAGGGAAAGAGCCTACAGCAAACGTTCCCTGCTGTTCAAGCCAGCTGCAGCAGAATAGTGCTGGAATAGTTTATCAAATACAGTCAAAACAGTGTAAGCAAGTGAAGTGCACACTGGGATCAATCTGAATATAAGACAAACTATGTCCGATGATAGCAACACATTATAGCAGAACAAGTTATAGTCCTTTTTTAGATAAAGTGTACAAACCTTAAAGTTTACAATTCAATGATTTTTTAGGTATGTACATACTCTTATAACTACTACCCATATAAAGGTATAGAACATTCCAGCAACCCCAGAAGATTCCCTCATGCTTCCCAGGCACTTTCTCAATCATCCGAGAGTAATCATTATTCTGATTTCTATTGTGCCTGCTACTGAACTTCATACAAATGGAATCAAAACAGTACTTATTCTCTTGTGCCTGATTTCTTTTGTCAACAGTTAGAACATTTAAGTCAGATTTTGCTGCCAAGGTTATGCTGGCCTCATAAAATGTTGAAAGTGTTCCTTCTTTTTCTATTCCCTGAGAAATTTAATGTAAGGTTGGCATTATTTCTTTCTTGAAAGGTTTAGAAGAATTCACCTAAAAGCCATCTGGGCTAGGTGTTTTTTGGTGTGTGAAGGTTTTAAATCATGATTAGTCCTCTTTCATCCACACAGGATTATGCATATTTTAATGAGTGTCAGCTTCAAAAGTAGTATTTTTCAAGAAATGTGTTCATCTAAGTTGTTAAATTTATTGCACTAAATCTATTCAATGCATTGTAGAATTTGCAGTAATATACCACTTTTCATTCCTCATGTTGATAATCTGTGTCTTCTCTTTGCATTTCCTCTTACCAGAGGTTTATCAACTTTATTAATCTCTTCAAAAAACAAATGTTTGGTTTTGCTGATTTTCTTTATCATACTTTTTTTTTTCTTATCTTTCTATCTTGTCTGCTATTATTTTTATTCCCTTTCTTCTATTTGGGGGGACTTTAATTCATCTTGCATTTAGCTTCTTTTTTAAATTTTTTAAAATATTTATTTTTTTTTTAATTTGTTTTTTAAATGTTTATTTCTGAGAGACAGACAGAATGCAAGTGGGTTGGGGCAGACAGAGAGGGAGGCACAGAATCTGAAGCAGGCTCCAGGCTCCAAGCTGTCAGCACAGAGCCTGACGCGGGGCTTGAACTCACGAGCTGTGAGATCATGACCTGAGCTGAAGTCGGATGCTCAACCGACTGAGCCACCCAGGCGCCCCTAAAATATTTATTTTTGAGAGAGAGAGAAAGAGAGCACAAGCACGAGCAGGGGAGGGGCACAGAGAGAGAGGGAGACACATAATCCGAAACAGGCTCCAGGCTCTGAGCTGTCAGAGAAGAGCCCGATGCGGGGCTTGAACTCACGGACTGCGAGATCATGACCAGAGACGAAGTCAGGTGCTTAACCGGCTGAGCCACCCAGGTGCCCTGCATTTAGCTTGAGATTGAAGTTTAGATTGCTGATTTTAATCTTTCTTTCTATGCATTTCTAATATATGCATTTAAAGCTATAAATGTACCTCTACGCATTATTTTAAATGCATCCTACAAAATTGTATGTCATTTTCATTATAGTTTAGGTAAAAAAAAAAAAAATGAACTTTTTAGAAGTATACCGTTTAATCTCCAAACATTTTGGGATTTTCTATTTATCTTTCTGTTACTGACTTCTACTTTGATCGCACTATAGTCTGAGAGCATGTGTTATTTCAAAACTTTGCCCTCTGTCTTCAGCTTACAATAGTTCGCCTATGATGTACCTAGGTGTGGCTCATGGTATTAACCCCACTGAGGTTAGAGCTTCTTCACCCTGTGGTGTGATGTCTTTCACTAGTTTTAGAAAAACCTTAGCCAGTATTTCTTTAAATATTGGTTCTATCACTCTCTTCTAGGACTCCAGATACATGGACAGAAATGTCTTCACCATGCCCCATAGGTTTCTTATTCTCTTTTCTGTGCTGCAATCTGGGTATTTTCTGCTAATTTTTCTCCTGGTCTAATAATCCTCTGTCCTGTGTGTGTGTGTGTGTGTGTGTGTGTGTCTATACTGCTATCATACCCATATATTCACTTCTCCATTTAGTTCATATTTTTTTCAGTTACAGAATTTCCATTCGACTTTTTAAAAAGTAGATTTCATATCTTTGTTGCAATTCTCTTATTTTATTGAGCATAGTTCCTGATTGGTAACCCCAACATCTGAATCACCTGTGGGTCTCTTTCTACTATCTGTATTTACTCTTCGTTTTGGTCATCTGGTTTCCATTTCCAATGTACCTCTTAATTTTTTATTGGACACCAAACATTCTGTATTAAAAACTGTAGCGGTTCTGGATGTACCAAATTATCTTCCTCCTAAGAGTGTAACATTTCTTCTGGAGGGCACAGCGAAGGCAGTCAGCCCACTTTAATCCTATCAGTGGGTGACTTTACCTTTTGTTGGGGCTAACTTTCCTTGGTTTTCCCTTTCTCTTGTAGTGGGGCCCTTTGGGGCCTTCAAGTAAAGCCTGGAGTGTCCACCAGGTCCCCTGTATCCTGGCAGCCTGGGATACCAAGCTCCATCTCACCAGTACTATATATGGCGGCTGGGATGTTTGCACAGCTTGTCAGGCTCCCAGATGCTTCTTTCTGCAGGGATTCTTACAGTCTTGCTCTGCTCACCTCAGGAGTTGGCAAACACTTCAAGGGAAGGCCACATGCCCAATTTTTGCTTACTTCCTGCGGTTCCCGTCTTCCAGGGATTTTGTCCTTCATGTCCCCGACACTTTGGGGTACCCCTAATTCCAACCTCTCGGCCCTAGGGGGCTGCTGCTTTCTGCTCAGACTCCAGATGTACAGACTGTGAATTAGAAAGTGCCCTCAGGGAAAAAGCTCAAGGGAACATGCCGCCCAGCGTGAGTCCCTTCCTTCAGGAGCCACAGTCCCTCAAGAACTGACTGTGCTGATGGCTCTCCAATGCCTCTCAACTGTTGCTCTATCGATTTTAATAAGCTTTGATACTTCTTTTTCTTTTCCTAGGAGGAGGGTTACTCTAATACTAGCTACTCTGTCACAGCCCAATGTGGCTTTTTGAAAGAAGACAGTTTTCTCGTCCAGGCAGAGATCAGATTCAGTCCCCAAGAAAGCAAGACGCCGGTCTACGTGACCCGTCCAGCTTCATTCAGACTTGTGATTCCACTCGGAATCAGAGGCCATGAGGAGTTCTGCAAGAGAGGGGACATTTGAAAATGGGACAAGAGAAATTCGAAATACAACTAAAACAGGTAGAAGAAAAAGATACTTTCTAGTCTACACCTGCTGACTTTTGTTCTGTTTCCCAGTAAGTGCTCCAATAATTAAGGAAAGTATATGATGACTACTCTCTCCACTAAGTATAAGAATGAAGCAAAGCCTCACAAAGAGAATTTCTGTTACTCAAAGAAAAGCTGACACAGGTTTAGCTACCAAGGGCACCTGGCTTATGCTGTCCTGGGTAAGCCTCGTGGCTGGCTGGCTGCCTGCCACTGCTTCTTAGATATACCCTACTCACTCCAATTTCATTCCTGCTTAGTCGTGTAACTGCTGTCCTGCCCATCATCCAATCAAGATATTTACATTTTATGAGACCTGAAAGAATCCATCTTCCCTGGGAAACCTTCACTGATCACCCCAAACACCAACAATCTCTCCTTACCATGAAATCCCACAGCACTTATAGCCGTTACCTTACAGGTTGTTTCTGCTATATTCTATTCTAGAATGGTCTTCCTGTTATTTCAGATGATAGCTTTTCTCTCCCCAGCTAGACTATGAGTTCCTTGTAGGTGTGAGGATGTCTGACCTGCTGCAAAGCACTTTGGTAGGCATGATCTCATTTGCTGTTTATAACCAGCATGTCACTTATCTGTGGCAGTTTCCTCTTCTATGTGAGGAAACCAAGATCCAAAGATGTTAAGTGGTAGAGTCACAACTCAAGCCAAGGACTTTTCCCACCCTGTTCTAGAGTATAAGGAATACCAGCCACACTAAGTTTTAGGAGACGATCCTTTCTCAAGAAACTGAAAGGTGTGAAAATTCACTAAGAAGCATGAGCCCACACAAAAACACACACATCTTAAATATTCACCTCCTTTTCTACCCCAACAAGTCCATTATGTATTCTTTCATTTTAAATCGCACTCAAATTAAACCACACTCAAACGTAAGCATTCCAAAGCTTTATGTTCCCATTCAATCACAGTGGAGACGGTAGCCTTTGGGATTTATAGGAAACAATGATCGGTAACAAATCCATCTAGCACACCAGCCAAAGGCACAACCATAGGACAAAGCTTCTAATTTAAGATCATCTCGTCCTGTCCACCAAATTGTAGTTCACTCGGAAAGGAAGCAAGCTTTGCACATAATCATAGCTCAAGTGTCTCAGCCTGAGGATAAGTGAACTTCTCAGGCTTAATTATTTCTGCAGGACCTCGGTAACACCTTGTAGTATTTAGAAGGCATTATAATTTATGGCCCCTCCAGGACTCAGTATCAGCCACTTGTCAGCAGAGGGGAAGGAGTTTTCAGCTATGCTGGCAATGCTCCCATTCAGTAAGCAAATGCTTATTATGTTTTGGTTTCCTTTTTTCCCCCCAAACAGGGGCCACATTTATCACTACCCGAAAAGTTAAATGAGGGTCTCTTCAGCATCTATACAAATTTCTCAGTCACTTAAGCCGTGGGAGCTGCACAGTTGGAAGAGTTAAGTCACAGAGGCATTGGTCATACCAACGTAATCTCGGACAAACCATCTAACCTTTCTTCATTATACATATGCCTCCGTAATTTTATAAAACATGCAGATTTCAAAGCATAAGAACTACAAAGTTCTTACGACGCTTCC